AGAAAAATGTTTGATAAAGGATATATTTGCTTTTTAAAATCCTGAATCAGTAACTTGGTTAAACTTGTTGGCTGAAGAGAATTAATTAATGAAGCTTAGTTCTTCATTTACACCGAAGAATGAATATAAGACATTAAGTTTATCATCATTTTGGGAATAAAATTTCAAAGAATTTCTATTACTAAGTAAAAGTGAAAGGGTGAAAGAAAAAATTTTCAACTTAGACCAACTTTTTTTAAAGGAAACTTTTCCCTGTATTCTAGATGTAAGTTCTCTATTAGGTATGGTTTTTGTAAATATTTTCTTCCAGTCTGTGGCTTGTATTTTCATTATCTTAATAGTGTTTTTCAAAGAGAAATTTTTAATTTTGATGAAGTCCAACTTACCATTTTTATTCTTTTATGTGATTTATGCTTTTTGGGTTCTAAGAAATCTTTGCTTAACCCAAGGTCACAAAGATCTTCTAGGTTTTCTTACAGAAGTTTTTATAGTTTTAGATTTTATATTTAGGTCTAGGATCAATTTCAAGTAAATTTTTTATATGATGTGAGGTATGGGCTAAGGTTTTTCTGTTTTGTTTTGACTCCAGCACTATTTGTTGAAAAGGCTATCCTTAACTTGTTGAATTGTCTTGGCATCTTTCTCAGAAGTCAGTTGACCATATAAGTATGTCTCTTTTTGGACTCCATTCTGTTCCATTGACCTATGTCTGTTCTTTTACTAGTACCACACTGTCTTGATTACCATACCTTTATATAGTAAATCTTAAACTATAGTGAGTCCACCAGCTTTGTTCTTTTTCAAAATCTTTTGACTATTCTAGGTCCTTTGCTTTTCCATTTAAATTTTAGAATCACTTTGTCAATTTCTACCTGTAGAGGAAAAACATTCCTGTGTTTCTTCTCTACTCTCAATACTTCACTTCAGTTTTGACACTTCTGGTCACCAGATGTGTAGAGGTTTTTCCCACATTGAGCAGTTCTTTGACACCAGTTGGGTGTCCTACAATTCAATTCAGTTTTGACAGTGCCTACCTAGAGTTAGCGTCAAATTCCACAGGTTAAGGGCTCAGTCCCACAACACTGCCTACCCACCCATCCACCTTCAGATGCCAATCACAAGTCCAAATAATGACCTGTGCTTCTGACTGGCTATAAATTGGAGGTTCCCCTGACCCCCTCCTCAGGTTCGATTAATTTGCTAGAGCTGCTCACAGAACTCAAGACATTTTACTTACTAGATTCCTGGTTTATTATAAAAGGTATAACATAGGAACAGCCAGATGGAAGAGATGCATAGGGCAAGGTGAGAGAGAAGGGGCGTGGAGCTTCTATGTCCGCTCTGAAGCCACTTTCCCAGCACCTCCACATGTCCACCAACCCAGAAGCTCTCTGAACCCCGTCCTCTTGGGTTTTTATGAAGGCTTCATTACATCAGCATGATTGATTAACACTGGCCATTGGTGATTGAGCTAAATCACCTCCTGGGAGTTTGGGGTGGAAGGAACTGAAAGTTCCAACCCTCTAATCATGGTTGGTTCCCCTGGCATCCTTAGGGGCTTTCCAAAAGTCATTCATGGTTGAAAGGGGCTTGATATGAATAACCCCTATATAACTTTACTGCTCTTATCACAGGAAAATTGACAGGTTTTTAGGAGCTCTTTGCCAGGAATAGAATGAAGACCAAATATATATTTCTTATAAATCACAATATCACACTACCACAAAGAGCTACATTTATGATTCCATTTTTATGACATTTTAGAAAAAGCAAAACATATAAACAAAAATCAGATCAGTGGTTGCCTAGGGATGGAGGAAGAAAATTGACTACAGAGGGGCACAGGAGAAATTCTGGGGTCAGAGAAATATCTTTATAATGGTGATGGTTACAACTATATATCTTTGTCAGAACTCATAGGACTGTACAGCTAAATGTGTTTATTTTACTGTAAGTAAATGATACCTTGATAAACCTGACATTAGAAAATAATAAATAAAAAGGAAAGGACCAGGCTCAATATTGCACTAGACTGGAATGGCCCTATGAACAGGCAAGCACATCATCTTTCTTAATGTTTATATTTGAACTATTTTGGGGTTTTTCTATATTTAAATATTAATAAAATTATATCTGATATTATATATAGAAAGGGCATTTTGTGAAACTGTTGTTTCAACTATATAAATAAATGTGTGTTGAGTTGTGATGTAAATTTTATTTCTTACTATGGGGCCATGGTAAAAATATTTTGAAAGATGATACCCTAGAAAAACTTTTATCCCATGTGAAGAGGAAAACATATACAGCAATTTCAGTGCAGCATTGTTTAAAATACTAAAAAATTTGTAACAAAATTTGTAACAAGTTGTATAGTATAATAGGATGCCTAGATACCAATTAAAATGAAAGGATCAGAGCTACAACAACATAAATAACTCAAAAATTTAAGATTGACCAAACGTAAGCTAAAGCAAGGTATGTAAGCTAAAGCAAGGTACGTACAGCATGATACAATTTATATAAGTTTTTTAACATGCAAAATTGTGATACATTGTATACATACATTAGGAATGCTAAAACTTCAAATTTTAGATAATTTTACATAGTTTAGTTGACTTCCTCTTGAATAAAGGGGGCTTCACCCATATCTAATACTTATTTATTTTTAAGTAAATGTGGTAAAATGCTTACATTTGAGAAAGCTAGGTGTGAGTAAAAGGGTGTTTTCTCTATACTTTTCTTTATGTTTTACAGGGTCATCAGTAACCTCTATAGCCTTGAAAGTCATCAGTGATATTGGGCAGTAGCAGTGGGTTCTACTTATAAAGCTTGGAGAGGTAAAGGGAAAGAAGAAGGTTAAAAAAAGGGATAGAGAAAGGTAAAGAGAAGGCTGGAGAGAAAGGGATGAACCTAGGAGAAATGAGAGCAGAGGGTGCATGTGGTAGAGTAACATACTCAATGCCCTGTGTGACTACACTGGCTGAAGAAGCTCCTGCTGCACTACTGCATAACCCACTTTTTCCATAAGAGGACAAGGAAACTTTCTATTTTAATGGAAGTTTAAAAACATATTTTAAAATGTTTTTTAAAAAGTATACAACTAAAGCAGGGTCGTTGTTTAAAAATCAGGATAAATAAGCAAAAACAAAAGTAATAATCAGGGCCAGCCCCGTGGCTTGGTGGTTAAGTGAGCGCGCTCCACTGCTGGCGACCCGGGTTCGGATCCCGGGCGCGCATCGACGCGCTGCTTCTCCGGCCATGCTGAGGCCGCGTCCCACATACAGCAACTAGAAGGATGTGCAGCTATGACACACAACTATCTACTGGGGCTTTGGGGGGAAAAAATAAATAAATAAAATCTTTAAAAAAAAAAAAAAAAAAAAATTTAAAAAAAAAAAAAAAATCAAAATCCCACCATCCATCATTGATATTACAGTGCATTCCCTTGTAGACTTTATGCCAGCACATCTGTACATACTTTTTTCCTTTTTTAAAAATGAGATCATACTATCAGAATGATAGTTTGTAACTTTTTTTTCCATCACCAATATGTACTGAAGAACAATATTTTAATGGCTGTGTAGTTTTCCATTGTGAGGATATACCACAATTTACTTAGCAATCTCCTGTTGTGAAATGTTTTCATTACTTCCAATTTTTCACTTTTTAAATATTTTTATAAACATGTCTGCAGTGAAATCATTACAACATACATCATCTTCAATTATTTTCCTAGGATAAGATCATAGATGCTGAGTGAAAGGTATGCATATTTTTGAGGGTTTGGATTCTTGATAGTTCTTCCCAAGAACTCCACTTTTCCTAACATTATAGGAATAGTGAGAAAGGACAAATTTAAATTAAAAGGATATGTATAGGGCCGGCCCGGTGGCACAAGTGGTTAAGTGCACGCACTCCGCTGCGGCGCCCCGAGATTCACCGGTTCGGATCCCGGGCGCGCACAGACGCACTGCTTGGCAAGCCGTGCTGTGGCGGCACCCCATATAAAGTGGAGGAAGATGGGCACGGATGTTAGCCCAGGGCCAGTCTTCCTCAGCAAAAAGAGGAGGGTGGGCAGATGTTAGCTCAGGACTGATCTCCTCACAAAAACAAAAACAAAAAAAGGATATGTATAACAGTCAGTGAAGTTATCAATTATTCAACATAGCTATGTGTGGATTTTCTTTGGAGGGCTATACGTAAAATGTCTTACTACTTGGGTCAAAATAGGTTCATTACAAAATAGGTTTTCAAGTGGTCCAGTTCTAGTTAAAGATAATTGGGTTCCTAAGTTTCCCTTTTTTACCTAAGACATTTTGCTTTGTAAAGAATACCTGGAAACTTAATAATACGAATAAATTTCTTTTTTTAAATAAAATTAAGACTTCCTTTCTTTAGTACTATAGGAGAAAATGCTCTTGAAATAAAAACTTCTAATATGGATGACAAAATAACCCTAAGCTCTTCTAGGCAGGTAAAATCTCCATCTACACCGATCTCCAAGAAAGCCCATATCAGCTTTGTGTTAGTTTCCATCAATAGGGAAGGAAAAGAATCCTCTAGAACTAAATATGTGACAGGGACATCAATTGAAAGATGAAGAGTTGAAGGGATGTGTAAGGTAGAGTCATTGTGGGGATGGTTTATAAGGAAAGAGAAATGTCTCAGACCATGTGGATTATCCTCAAATAATTTTCTTACAATAATTTCTTATAAATTACAGATCTCAAAACTAGGAGCTGTCCAAATGGTGCAATAATGAGTGTACTGACCAAACGACATTTTTGTTTTGATTGGTATTCACATAAAATAACTAGATGTGTAATGAATGTATTATTAAACATGTGTAATGAATGTATTATTAAACAGTAAACTCTACCTTGAAAGGCAAGAATCATGTATTACTTGTTTCTCCAACTCTCAACTCGTTAATAATAGTAGGCAATCAATAAATGTTGAACCAAATAACTAATTCTTTCATTAATTCTTCTGAACAGACTGGATTGTGGACAGAACTTGGAAAGATTGAGAATAATTTCTTAAAGCCACTCCATACAGGACTTAATATGTCAAAAGCACATTATGAAGCAGAAATTAAAAATAGCCAGGAAAATAGCCAAGGTTAGTAATGTGCAGTTACATTTTTGGTTAGGTCTGAAAACTAGTCAAATTTTAGAACTGTCATTTATATTCAAAATAAAGAACTTTCGTTTAATCTGTACTTGGCTAATTTATAGCAAACAAGGAACCATGACAGCTGAGTCATTTTACTTATAATTAAAATGATCCTTAGCAGATCTGTAAGCCAATTAACAGTGAAATTGGGTTAACAAAGATTTAAACCAAACTGAAGCATATTCTGGTTTAATACGTCAAGTTCTGAATCTAACTGTATTACAAGTATTTCTGTTTGGATGTCTTTGTACTTCCTTTGGTATTTTGGGTCTACCCCCCACACCCTCAGGTAAATCTATACAAACTACAAAAAAGAATCTTAAATCCAGAATTAGTTTTTAAAGTCAGCAATTCTATGATAATAACCTTGTGATCTTTTCCATATAGCTATGGTGGTATTTCTATAGGCAATACTAGAAATTTTGTCTCTTTTAGTGTAACAGGTATAATTCTGATTATATACTGAAGAAAAAAGTTTATAAATTTTCATTCATCCTGTACATGCCAAAATAATGCTATTCACCTAAAGAAACATTAATTCACTTGTTGCAGAATTGCAGTATTTTTATTTGCTTATAGCTTGATTTAAGCATACCCTGAGTTATTAAACAATAAGCTATTAAACAATAATTGACACAAATAACTGACACATTTTTTTAAGTTAGTGAATGATAAAAGTAGCTTATAAATTTATTATTAAAATCTAAGAGTTGTTTTAATGGTTAAGTGTGACACATGATTTTTTTTTTCTTCTCTAACAGAAGTCCAGAATTCTAAAGATCTCTGTTCTGTAACTGTAGGTGGAGAAGAGATCCCTAATATGCCTCCTGAAATGCAGCTTAAGGTAGATCTGAAATTTTCCTAAGCTACATCCGGCTGAAGTCTTTTCTTTTTTTGCTTTGTTTTGTTTTAAAGGTAGCCTTAATAACACTAATTTTTCTTGGCATTGCAGGTTCTACATTCAGCTCTTTTCACATTTGATTTGATTGAAAGTGTTCTGGCTCGAGTAGAAGAACTCATTGAAATGAAAACAAAGTCTACCTCTGAAGAAAATATGGGATAAATTGAAAGCTCCATCTCCTAAATAAAAAAACTAATAAAATACCGTATTTTCCATTATGATTTATTTAATACCTTTATAAAAATTTTTCTGTACAACACTCCCTGATAGAAAAATAAATGTAGCTTTTCTCATTTATCAGTTTCTGTAATGACACATTATGGATCAGCAGTATTCTTTGGTTTTATAAAGATATCTACATGGTAAATAATCCCATATATGTATTCTAAATACTACTGTTGAAAATCCAATACAAATTAATAATTTTTTATTTTAATTTCATAAAATATAGTTGAATTGCCTTCATTCGTACAATTGTAGCGAGTTTATAAAAATACTGATATATTTTATGTTCCAGTTAGATGCTGTGTTACATTTTAGAATTCCTAGTGTCAAACTGGATATCACACCCCTAAGAGTGTAGAGAGGTTCTGAGTTAAGGCCAGTTGACTGCTTCTCTTCTCTCTTTCCCTGCCTCAGGAGGAGTATTAGAGGGCACAGTCCCATCACCACCTCCCTAGCAGCAGTTACAGTGTGAAAGCATCTGTGAAGATTAATTTTAGAAATACTGACTGCCCTTGTGGAAAAGCTAAAAAGTATGTATGACTTTCCTTTAGTCTAAGGGGCTATTTAGAAAATGCTGTATTTTTATTTTCTAGTAAATATTTGCCCGTCCAACTTAATTTGTATCATTAAGAAACAATCTGAGTTTTATAATATATGTATGTACCAATTTTTTTAAACGTTATTAATTACTCAACAAAATAAAATCACTTAATTGTATACCTTTTATTATTTTAATTTAAAAATCTTTAAAGTAAATATATGTATTTGAACATTATAATTTAACTGGTCTAATTATTTCCGTATTCTTCCAAAAGAACTTATAATTGATACTCTAATTTGGGTTAAATGAATCACTACTCAGTTTTATCTTTTGAAGTGTTTTCCAAACAGGACTTTGCTCAATGATGTAAGCTTTAGTTGTTATCATTCTGTAGCCGATGCTATCTATGTATGGTTTGGAGTTGATCTGGAAGGAGATATAAACATGCAACATTTATTTACAGAAATAGGTATTTTTACAAGGTCACATCAAAAAATACCTAACTTTCATTTATTCAACAAGTTTCTATCACCTTCGATGTGCAGAATACTCTGTATGCATGTGCGTTATTAGAGTAATAGAGAGAAAAATACCTGATCTCTGTCTTCAAGGAATTTCAAACATGCAAGCCAAAACATAGAATACTATAAGAACTGCTTTCATGGAGGTCTGTTCCAAATAAGAGTAAGGAACACCTAACTCTGCTTAGGGGAGTTGGGGACACACTTCACAGGGAGGACAAGCATGAAAAGAAAGTGGACAACTGGTGAAGAGCATTCTATAAAATAGTATGTTTGCTCTCCGACAGTTCATGACTCCCAATATTTTTACTTTAGAATTTGAAGGAAGATTTAAGTAACCAATAGGGGCAACACAATGTAGATATGGCCAAATGTTCTTTTGGCCCAAAATGAGTCTTTGTGGTAGTGGCTACTGGAAGTAGGTTGAGAAGACTTGAGAGGCTGAGTTCAGGTTTGGGAAACAGTTGCATGCTGAAATAGCAACTTCTCTGAGGGGAAGAGAAGCAGAGTATTTGTCAACCCTGTTCAAGGAGGTGTGCATTTTGAAGGTTCAAGAACCTTGAAGTGTATGAGTGTGAGTGTATGTACATGTCATTTTCCTCCAGTGACTCACCTTAGCTATAGTGCACATAAGATTAACAGCATTTACTGTGTTGTGTACTGGAAGTATCCGTAAGTTACTACCCAGGAATCTGAAAAACAATTCCTAAGTTAAATAGATCATATAACTTACTGATATCTGTTATCTTAAGTAAGTGGAAAGAAGAGACAAACCTTTTATTGTTTGTCATTTGTTTATTCATTCATGCCCTACCTTATTCCACAGAAGATCTGCTATGGCTTTATAGCCAGAACTTAATTGACTAAAAAGTGTTCACTTTTGGTTTATCTTGCAGGAGAATCCCATAATCAGCATGAACTCTGAAACTTGTCACCCTGATTCATAGAATAGCCATTTGGCCTGCATTTTATTAAATATGATAGGTTAACATTATAAAGTTTATCTTGGCAAAACATAACTCATCTGCCTAAAAGAATTCAGAACTGAAGTAAACCCAATATAATTTAAGAAAAATAAGTCTATAGTGCAACTTTTCCATACCTCTGCTGAATCCTGAACATCAGTTTCCATTCCTCAGGCCCATGGAGGGCAGCAGACAGAACCAAAAAACTATTTTGGTGAATGTTAATAAACTTCTCAATTTTGGCTAGAAATATTTCTTCAGCTGACTTAAAGCATTCTTTAGCATCCATCAATAAAAATGCAACTCCTAGGAGAGGTGAATGTAATATAAAATGTCACTTCGTCATATTTATCAAATTTTTTAATAAACTCAGTAAAATTAACAAAAATAGCTATAACACAGCTATAAGTGTCCAGGCCCTAAATCCACAAGGAGTAGAAATTACTATAACAAAATTATTACACAACAAAATAATTTAGGTAGTTGTTTGAAGTGCTCTGTATAAAAAGATGACTTATTCTAAATATTCAAGAGAAAAAACTCTTTTGGTCAATAACCATTTTTTTTAGACTAGGGCACTGTCCACATCGAATGTAATGCCTAATTTTAGTTAAAAGTTAATTTTCCATGTTATAATGATTTTTAAAAGCTGGAAATCAACTAAAGAAAGGTAGTCTTAAGCAAGCCTTCAGTTACTTATTGGAGAAACTTCTGTACCAGAACATAAACTATTATATAAATCAATACACTCAGAAAGCAGATATCTAGGATCTCTGAAACAGTATCAGGCATATAAGAATGGTCCAGAAGGGAAACTTGATCTAATTAGCTCTTTAAAAGATGAGGGGAAGACATAATCTGAGGAAAATGACTATGTGATTATATGCTAATTGAGTTAACTTGGGCAATTTATATAACCTCTTGGAACCTAAATTTCCTCATCTCTAAGACTGGAATAATAGTTCTTTGATAGGTTTGCTGAAAAGATTAAATAAGATAATGTATATGAAGTGGCCAAGGGACATAAGTAGGTATTCACCAAAAATATTTTACTTCTTCCTAGAGGGCGCTCTATTCAACCAGGAAGGATGAGTTTGAGGGTGGACCACTTTCAGCCTGGAGGTCTATTTCTAGGAGCTCTTGAAAACGCCTGTCTTAACAAAACCTCTGCTAGAGTACGGGTCTATTTGCAACCCTCCTGGTAAAATCCTTCACCTCCACCTCTTTTATCACTTTTATCATTTCCCAAGTAAGTGGAGCTATCCCCTTCCCGTGTCCCCAGCCTTCTCATATCATAATCTAATTCCTTCTTGTACTTTGCCCATGACTCACAGTTGTACAGTTTTATGATTTTAGGAACATTTGTTTGTCTCCATTTGGTTCTTTTAGTTAGTTATTTGTTTATATTATATTCAGCAAATGCTCGGGCCGGCCCCATGGCTTAGCGGTTAAGTGAGCACACTCCACTGCTGGCGGCCCGGGTTCGGATCCCGGGCGCACACCGACGCACTGCTTCTCCGGCCATGCTGAGGCCGAGTCCCACATACAGCAACTAGAAGGACGTGCAGCTATGACATATAACTATCTACTGGGGCTTTGGGGAAAAAAAAATAAATAAATAAAATTATATATTCGGCAAATGCCTGTACAAAATCATATAGGAAAAACATTCTCCTACGTTGTTTTTCTATATGGATTTTGACCAGTGTTGTGATGTTGTGCTCTTAGTTAATACAGGTAATACTTTAATCTAAGTATTAATTCTTGGGGAGGTGGCTTTGTTCTATTTTCATCTTAGTTCCAAAGCAAGTAATTTTTGCCATCCTCTACCAGACTTCACTGGTTCAGCTTTCGTTCAATGATTGTAATCTAAAAAGGAATGTATTTTGTAATTAGCCATATGCACTGCTTTTGCAGCAGTAACAAAGTTTTATATATTTACCTCTCCCAAAAGAAAACACCTTAAGCTTATTACTTGGTTACTGAACTACCAAATTATTAGAATTTATACTCATTTTATAAGAAACTTAAAGCAGTTAGCAAATATACTGTACCAGAAAGAGAAAATATAATTGATCCATTTTCCACTGAATCTGAATACCGAACCTTGTGGCTTCGATTTTCTAGGGCAGTTGCAACTTCATAAATCTAAAAAATTTTCAGAAATACAAACTTAAGACATGCTTAGAATAGTTTATTAAAGCTAATGAAAAAATTAAAATAAGTTTAATAACTTCTTTTATAACTATACCACTTAAAGGTTTCATCATCAAAAGAGACACTAAATGTACACTCTATGGAGGAAAAAAACTTAAAAAAAAAGAGCAAAAATATTTACTTTTTTGGGGCCAGCCCCTTGGCCTAGTGGTTAAGTTCAGCGTGCTCTGCTTCGGTGGCCTGGGTTTGGTTCCTGGGCACGGACCTACACCACGCGTCGGTGGCTGTGCTGTGGTGGCATCCCACATACAAAATAGAGAAAGACTGGCACAGTTGTTAGCTCACAGTGAATCTTCCTCAAGCAAAAAGAGGAAGATTGGCAACAGATGTTAGCTCAGGGTGAATCTTCCTCAGCAAAAAAAAAAAAAAAAAATTTAGTTCCACTGAAACACACTGATTGTAGGTTTGGAAATGAGTGTACTACAGTTATGTTACTGAGGGGAAGAAATTAAGGACAGTATTAAAAAACTACACTATAAGTACCAGAGCAAATGTAAACTTCCTTTTAAAAAACTTATACGTAGATTCTGATATGCATTAATGTATTACTGGAAGGTGGGTGGTGGTGTTTTTTAGTTGGTTGACAGAATCATGTAGCGCCAGACATACAGAATACCACAAGGAGACAACCAATTCTCCAATTCATCTGTTTACATTAATTACTTTTAGTATACTTTTAAGCCTTAGGTGAGTCAGAAAACGTATATGAAGACAGCAACAGTACTTTTGGTTTAAATACTAAGCATTTCAAAACTCATCCCATTTCCTATTCTACCCAAGTAATTAGATCATATTAACCAAGACATGAAAATATAGTGGTTAATAGTATTTCCTAATTGGTTAAAACTCAAGTTTGTTATTCTCCAAGGAGATAAAAATCCCTTAGGTATATTAATTTTATTTTATATCTTGCCTCAGAATATGTATATTTTAAGCACACAGGTTGGAATTAGGTATAAAAAATGTGCTTCCTTTCCTTCCTAAAGAGAGTATTTTGTGCCACTCAAACAGATCCTGACCTAGAGTTCAACTATGACTCTTCCCATGAGTTTTATTCTGCTGTTTTAAAATTATACATTGCTTCCAGTTTGGGCAGACTAAGTAATTTAGGCCAACCCTCCTGCTGAAGGCAACTAAAAAAGCTGGACGATTTTTAAAGTCTGCTTGAATGCATCAGAGAGCTAGCAGGATAGTAAAAAATTACAAGGCAAGATCTATACAGAAATTCAAAGATATGAGACCAGCATTTAGGCCATTTTTTCCCTGAGGGCATCTGCCAATTCAAGAGACAGATGAGAGGCTGAACAGAGCTTTTGAAAAAGTAGAACAGCTCTCTCAGGGACTGCAGCCTAGCTTCAAACCATTTCAATCCCTGAAATGGTATTAAGGTGATACGTATTACCAATGCTCCCAAGCCTCTTGCAGAAGCACTCCCTAGAGCAACCTTGCTCAATTAGGTCTCCTTATTTGAACTACAGAATAAAGAAAATTATTTGAGTGACTGTTTTCTCAGTTCTCCCATAACTAGTACCATTCTAGATGCACAAGAGATAAGTTCATTTGTTACAATACAACAGACGCCTTAGGGCTTGTGTTGCCAGGTTAGCAAATAAAACTACAAAACACCCAGTTTAATTTGAATTTCAGATAAACAACATAATTGTTTAGTGTAAGTATATCCCATGCAATATTTGAGATGTACTTATACTAAATTCATCATTTATCTGAAACTCAGATTTAACTTAATAGTCTGTATTTTATCTGGAAACCCTACTTAGGACATTAGGGTTTTAATTGTCTTAAAGAATTAAGGCTTCTCTAGAGGAATAGAACACTATTTTAGGCCTCAAATTATTTCCACAGTTTTTCAAATACAAATTCCAACATACAATCAAAAATAATCAGACATACAAAGAGACAAGATTACATGAAAGAGAACCATCAGCAACAGCAGGCAATATAGAAATAGACTCACAGGGGATACATATAGTGAAGTTATCAGATATATACCTTAAAATAGCTATGTTTACTATGTTCAAAGAGATGAAAGACAAAGTTGAGAATTTTGGCAAAGAACCAGAAATATATAAAAGAATGTGACATGTAAAGAGTCAGAAAAGCTTCATAAAATTTAAGTGAAATATTTAAAGTGGAAAGCAGTTTATTAAGCAGACAAGTGAAGGAAGACAAATGTGAGAAGCGCATGGACAGAAAAGAATAACACAGGCAAAAGCATTCAGAACTGAAAAGTATAGTTCTTACATGGTAAGTGTGTAAGGTATATATATAAGTCGGTTAATTTGGGGATAGTGTTAGGAATAGCTGCTAGCAGATCGTGAGGACCCATGTATGCCATACTAATGAATTTTAATCCTATCCTATTGGTGGAGCCAACTAAAAGAATTATAATAAAAATAATAGAAGAAAATAATGAAGATAAAATTAGCAAGTACTGAATTAGGAAAAAATAGGTAAGTTCAAAAGTTAACTTTTCAAAATAACCAGGAGCTAAAACTAGACTTCCCAACGTATGTTTCATGGAATATTAGTCCCATAAGATATTAAAAGATATTCCTTATTCAAACAAGATTGGGAAACACTGAAAACTATTTTGTCTCCTGTTGGGGATTTAGAATGCATTTGAGCATATTTTTTTCTAAAGATTTTATTTATTTACTTTTTTCCCCCCAAAGCGCCAGTAGATAGTTGTATGTCACAGCTGCACATCCTTCTAGTTGCTGTATGTGGGACACAGCCTCAGCATGGCCCAACAAGCGGTGCACGCCCGGGATCCGAACCCGGGCTGCCAGCAGCAGAGAGCACGCACTTAATCGCTAAGCCACAGGGCTGGCCTGCATTTGAGCATATTAAAGGCTCTGATGACTAATACAGTAAAAAAAACTTGTGTAACTTTGTTTATACCAACATTCCAAATAAAATCCATTACAATACTTCTTTATACATATGTAACATCTATTAATATTCTGTAAAACTAATGTTCCATCTACCAAATCTACTCATGAGAAAGGAAATATATAAATAAAAACAGAAATGAGAAAGGGCATTTAATAACTAATACAGAGTTTATTAGAAAATTAAAATAATGCCAATATGTAATTTCTAATCACAGAAATGGTAGTTCCATAAAGTTCAACTTAGTACATTTAATAACCTCTATGAAATGAGTAAATTTTTGAAAAAATATAATTTATGAAAATACAATACAGTACCTAACAGAAAAAACCATAGAAACCACTATTTTTCTACATTACATAAAAGATTACCAGCACAGAAAATTTAATAGGAAAGCTCCTTATTCCTTAAAGTACAAATAATTTCCATACTATATAAACTGCATAGATATAAACAAAAGGAATGGAAAAAAAAGAATAAAAAAAGAAAACCCCTACTCCCTACAAAAAGAGAAAAGCATAGCCCAATCTTTAGTAAATAGTCATTCAAAAATAAAATATTAGCAAACCAGATTTTAAGAGAATATGAAAGGAAACTCCACAATGACCAGTTTAATGAAGAAATGTAAAGATTAGTCACTTAGGTTCTTCTCAACAGATAACAAGAAATAATGCATTTGAAAAACTATACACTTATTTCTGATTAAGAGAAAAAACTTCATAAATTAAGCTTAGATGAATATTAACATAAATATTATTTTATAGCAACAGGTAACATCATATATAATAAAACACTGGAAGTATTCCCATTAAAATTAGAAACATTGTTTAGGATGCTCTGGTCACAGCAAAAGGCCATGAAATAAGAATAGATACAGCTGTCAGAAATTCTCATTAATTGCAAATGATGTTGCCTTTGTGGGAAAACCCAAGAGAATCAACTGATAACGTATTGTGAAATTTCAGTGAATTGATTAAATATAAAATAAATTACCACAAACTCAAAAGTTTCCCTATATATAGATTGAAAACATGGGGAAAAAATAATATTTCACAATAGCAACAAAAACTTGAACTATCTAGGCACTTAAAAAGAAATAGGCTTTTCAGCTTTTGGCTCCGAGAAGACCAAGGTGCAACTTTCTTTGGTCATCCCAAATCCGGGTTCATCCAACACCAGCCGCCTCCACCATGCCGCCTAAGTTCAACCCCAATGAGATCAAATTTAACTGTGTAACTAATATTAAAATAAATGTAGGGGGCTGGCCCCATGGCTTAGCGGTTGAGTGCGCGTGCTCCGCTGCTGGCGGCCCGGGTTCGGATCCCGGGCGCGCACCGACACACTGCTTCTCCGGCCATGCTGAGGCCGTGTCCCACATACAGCAACTAGAAGAATGTGCAACTATGACATACAACTATCTACTGGGGCTTTGGGGGGAAAATAAATAAATAAATAAAATCTTTAAAAAAAATAATAAATAAATGTAGGAATTATGGTTATAGAAAAATTGTGTTATACACATTTGATGTAATTAATAAAAGTTATAAACATCTAATATAGTTAGTATTTGATCACTGCTATAATTAATAAAAGTCTTGAGGGAAAAAGGGAATTAATAATATTCTATTTGTTGACCTGATTGGCGACATGGTATTCTCTTTAAAATAAATCTATTAAATGGTTCATTTATATGTTATATACTTTTCTCTACGTATATTTCATAATTTGAGAAAAATCAAACAAAACTGAAAACAAAAAGCAAAAACCCTCAATAGATTAGTTTAACAGGAGTAAAGAGAGAAATACTGACATCGAAGAGAGAACTGATGAAATTACCTAGATCGCAGCCCAAAGACATGGAAAAGGTGAAAGGTCAAAATGCATGGAGAATATTGTAAGAAGATCTAACACATATCTAAAAGGAGTTCAGAGGGGAAGGAGCAAGGGAATAGGACAGAGATAATATTAAAGGAGATGATGGATAAAAACTTGATAAATGACACCAATTCACAGATTCATGAAGCCTCAAAAGATAAAAAGAAATATATACCTTAAAACTATAGAATGCCAGAATCTGAAAAGCAGTCAGGGAGGAGAGATAGGTAATCTTCAAGGAAGTGACAATTAAACTGATTGCTGTCTTATCAACAGCAACAATGGAGGCCAGAATCCAGTGAAGTGAGATCTTCAATATAATGAGAGAAAATAACTGTAAATCTAGTGAAAAATATCTTGCCATTTGGAGCAACTGGAACTCTCATAAAATGCTGATGGGAGTATAAAACCGTAATCCCCACATTTATTTTTATTTTAGTTACATAGTTAAATGGATTTAATGTTCATTTGTAGTGCATTCTGGAAAAGGGTTTTGCAATTTCTTATAAAGATAAACATATACTAACCATATGACCCAGCAATTCCATTTCTAGGTATTTACAAGAGAAATGAAAACATATGTTTACACAGAGACTTATATATGAATGTTCAGAGCAGCTTAATTCATAATAGCAAAAACTGGAAACAACCCTAATGACCAGCTACCTGTGAATAGATACATAAATTGGGATATACTCATATAGCAAACTACTACTCTGCAAAAAAAGGGAACAAATTATTGTTATATGTAACAATGTAGATGAATCTCAAAAACATTATGTTTAATGAAAGAAGCCAGACACAAAAGAGTACAAACAGAAGTTCTGAGAACAGGCAAAACTGATTATAGTGATAAATATCAGATCAATGGTTGCCAGAGGTGGGTGGCTGGAAAAGGACTGACTACAAAAGGGCATAAAGGAACTTTCTGGAGTGATGAAGATGTTCTATATTTTGATTGGGATGGGGGTTACACAGGTATACACATTTGTCAAAACTCATCAAACTGTACATTTAAGATGTGTGTATTTTACTCTATGTAAGTTATACCTCAATTAAATGGATTTTTAAAACATCTTTCAAGATCAAGGAGAAAAGAAAAATATTTTGATACTAACAAAAACTGAGAGGTTTTTGCCTATAGAAGATCCTCACTGAGGTAATTTCTAAATTATATTCTTCAGATAAAAAGAAAGTGATTCAAAATGGAAAGTCTGAGCCAAAAGAAGGAAAGAAGAGCAAAGATGTAGCAAAGATATGAGTAAATCTAAATGCTAACTTTAGAAAATAATAATAATACTTTGCGGAGTTAAAAATAGAATTAAACTATATATGATAAACAACAGGATATAATACAGAAAGGGGTGATTGGAATTAAAGTGTTCTAAGATTCTTTTGTTGTTTAAGAGGAGGAAAAGGTAACTATTTACTTTGGATTTTGTGGAGCTAAGTGCATGTTAAAATTTCTAGGGTAACTACTAAAAAGAAATAGAGCGTATAAGTTTCAAGGCTAGTTGAGAAAAAAAATAACAAATCAATACAAAATGAAGCAAGAGAGAAAAAAGAAACAGAGAAGGGGACAAATAGAAAGCACAAAGCAAGATGGGTAAACATAATAAATAAATGAACTAAAAGTAGTTGTTTGTGGCAAATTAGCATGGGTTGCTGGCTCCCTCTCTCAGAATCAGTCTGGAAAAGCTATAGAAACAAGAGAAACATGGATTCCAGAAACTTAACAAAAGGAAGCATGAAAAATTCCAGTGAGACTTAAGGTTATATTAAATGTATGTGTTATGGAGCTAGATGGCTAAAGACAACAGGGCAAAGTGCAGCTTGAGGTAGCAGTGAGAGGATAGGGTAGATAAAAAATCTTACTTAAAGTCTTATTCTTGCCTCTCTCCTTTTTTTTTTTTTTTTGGCTAAGATTCGCCCTGAGTTAACATCTGTGTGCCAGTCTTCCTCTATTTTGTATGTGGGTCACTGCCACAGCACGGCTGCTGACAAGTGGTGTAGGTCTGCGCCCAGGAACTGAACCCGGGCAGCCAAAGCATAGCACGCCAAACTTAACCACTAGGCCATGGGGCCAGCCCGTTGCCTCTCTTCTCTTCACCATGGAACAATTATTTCTTGCCTCTTCACTCTAGACCTCAGCTGGTATTCATAAAATATCAGGGCAATGGAGAAATCCTGTTGGCTGAGTAGTTAAAAACAGTTGTGGACTGACCGACTGCCCTCAGGCATTCAATTTCCCATTTCCTCCCCCTCCAAACTGTAGGGAGACAGCTCCTCCCAATGCCACTAAGGCTAGACAGATAAGTTTCTGTTGTTTCTCTCTCAAAAAACCTTAACTAGTATATATGTACATATGCATTACTGTTTCTAGAATCCTTTAACAACTCTATTAGAAAGGCTTAGAGAGTTAAAAAAAGAACTTTAGAAAATTTCCAACCCTCAGATATTTAGAGAAGTAGGATGTTGAAAATGGATGCAGTAAAGTTTATAATTCATCTTTAAAATACATTTAGCTTATGTACTTGCTGATCCACCAAACTTTGGATAATCAAGCTACGGATCTTTTAAAATATTGTTCTATTGCCTTTAATTTTTAATTAAAGATCAGTGGCCCCAATGCTTCTTTACCTTAAGAGATGAGCTAATAATAATGGTGGTTGTCCATTGTATTTTTTCTTTTTCACCACTTTCAGCCATCTGCCTGTCTTTGGGTCAACCCAGCTTCTAATAGTGCCACGATCTGAGAAAAATAAGAGCAAAAAGAACACACGGAAATGTTTGTTAGATAAATGAGTAAATTAAAGATAGAAAAAAACCTAGGGTAATGGAGACATTCTAAATAATGTTTGAAAGTCAAAATTTGACACTGAAAAAGTATCTGTCTTGTTATTACATTAATCTTTTTCAATACTGTGCTTCCTATTAACAATTATTAAAAGCAGTGGTTCCCATTTCTTTCTTTCTTTTTTTTTTTGTGAGGAAGATCAACCCTGAGCTAATATCCATGCCAATCCTCCTCTTTTTGCTGAGGAAGACCAGCCCTGAGCTAACATCCATGCCGACCTTCCTCCACTTTATGTGGGACACCACCACAGCATGGCCCGACAAGGGGTGCGTAAGTGCACGCCTGGGATCCAAACCCAGGCTGCCAGCAGCAGAGCACACGCACTTAACTGCTACACCACGGGGCCGGCCCCACTGGTTCCCATTTCAGAGCACTAACATAAAGAAAGAAGACTGTGTGTCAGGAACTAGGAAAGGTCTGAGGTTTCATCCTACTTGCAAGCTAAAAAGTTAGCCTGCCAGAGTTTCATGGATACAGCAAAAGACATAAGACTTTTGGATTAGAGACAAAGGACAGTTTCTTACTCACAACAAGAGGAGTATCATCATTTTCCTGCAGCAGTTCCCCAAGTGCAATTCCCACAGGGTGATGGGACAAAGGCCAGGTTACATCAGCACGTGCACTGGGCTGTATTATAGGAAAGGAACTCTGAGCTTAGGAAACTCCAATCTTTTATAATGGGCTGGAAGCAAACCTGCCCTCTCCTCTAGAGGGAAATACTATCTCTAACTTACAAAGCTATTCACTATACAAACATCCTTGAAAAGACAGTTCAGAGGTGGGACCAGGATATTTGCATTTCTAACAAGTACATTGGTGATGCTATTGAAGCTAGTCTGGGGAACCATACTTTAAGAACCACTGCACTAAAGGAAGGAAAAGCATCCTAGGCAAGAATAACAACAACAACAAAACACTGTCTATTGACAACCAGACAATAAAAGAAAATGCTGTAATAAGAGAATTTCAAAAAGTTCAGTGTGCTGGCACCGGCCCTGTGGCCTAGTGGTTAAGTTCAGCATGCTCCACTTCGGCAGCCCAGGTTTGGTTCCCAGGCGTGGACCTACACCACTCGCCAGTGGGCTTTCTGTGGCAGCAACCCACATACAAAATAGAGGAAGATTAGCACAGATGTTAGCTCAGGGCAAATCTTCCTCAAGCAAAAAGAGGAAGATTGGCAACAGAAGCTAGTGCAGGGTGAATCTTCCTCAGCAAAAAAGAAAAAGTTCAGTGTGCTCAATTGTAAGATATGTGTGTCTGAGATGGGTGGGTGGGAAGAAAGATAAAAATTACTGCAAATCTAGTAGCATAAAACTGAATTTCATTGTGGTCTAAGTTTGGCATTTTTCTGATTATTCTGAGACTGAACACCCTTAAGCCACATTTCCACTTCTGTGAAATGCTTATGTCTTTTGCCCATTTTTCTGTTAGATTTTTTTCCTTTTTGTTTTTTTTTTTTGCTGAGAAAGATTCACTCTGAGCTAACATGTGTCACCAATCTTCCTCTATTCTGTATGTGGATCGCCACCCCAGCATGGCCACTGACAAGTGGTGTAGGTCCGCGGCTGGGAACCAAACCTGGGCCGCAGAAGTGGAGCATGCCAAACTTAATCACTAGGCCACTGGGCTGGCCCCAGATTTTCTTTTTCTTTTTCTCATTCATTTGTAGGATTTCTTTATATATTCTGGATATCAATCTTTATCAGCTATGTGTGCTTTCTCCCAGTTTGGATTTGTCTTTTCCCCTTTATGGTAATGTATGATACAAATTAAAATTTTCAATATTGTCAAATTTATCAATCTTTTCATTTATGGTTAGTGCTTTTTGCTTCTTATTTAAGAAATCCTTCCCTATCCCAAAGTCATAGATATTCTTTCATTGTCTTCTAAATTTTTAGTTTGGCTTTTCAAATTTAAGTCTTTAATCCATTGGATTTTTGTATAGAGTCTGAAGCAGGGATCCAATTTCATTTTTTAAAAATATAGCTATCTAGTTGTCCCAACACTGTTTATTCAGTAGTCCTTCCTCCCCCTGGTCATCTGCAATGCCACCTTAGTCATATGTTGTTTCCATATATGCATAGGTCTGTTTCTGGGTTCTCTATTCTATTCCATTGTTCAGTTTGATTATTCCTAAGTCAATGTTACACTGTTTTTAATTATCATAGTTTTACTAAAAGTCTTGATATCTATATGAGAAGTCCCTCCATCATCTTCTTCTTTTTCAGCAGTGCTGTAGCTATTCTTGGGTCTTTTTTCTTCCCTATAAATTTTAGAATCACCATGTCAGTTGCTTTAAAAACCCCTGTTGGGGGACTTCTTAGAAGTTCAGGGGCCAGCCCCGTGGTGTAGCGGTTAAGTGTGTGTGGGTTCGGATCCCAGGCGCACAGTGACACACGGCTTGTCAGGCCATGCTCTGGTGGCATCCCACATAAAAAGTGGAGGAAGATTGGCACGGATGTTAGCTCAGGGCCAGTCTTCCCCAGCAAAAAAAAGAGGAGGATTGGCATGGATGTTAGCTCAGGGCTGCTCTTCCTCACACACACACAAAAAATTAGAAGTTCAAAAAACCTAAACTCTATGAAATTGAGTCTTTCCATCTATGAATCTGGTTTATCTCTCCATATATTTAGGACTTACACTCTGGTGTTTTTATTTAACATTATGTCATAAGCATTTTCTTTACATATTTTCTAAAAATATATGTAAAGGCTGCATAACTTTCTGTTGTATGGATATGCCACACTTTATTTGACCATTATGTAGGGAAGGAACAATAATTTTCCCTCTGCCCTTCTGAGTTCTTGGCTGAGACTCCCTATAATAAAAGACATTAATAAGTGAAAAACAACCAGAATTTTATTAACATGTATACCTCATGTATACATGGGAGATACCCAGAAAAACTGAGTAACTCCCTGAGATGGCCCAAGCCACCACCTTAAATACCATCTTCAACTAAAGACAAAAGACATTGTTGGGGAGGCCAGTTATGGAAGGGTACCAGAAAAAGCACAGTAAACAAGGGTAAGGTTTGTTATATATGTTGATCATATATATATATGATTTAAGTCAGTGCCATCTCTATTGATAAGACTTTCTTGTGATTTAGAGTCACCCTTCTCTTCCTGGTACAGAGAGGGAGTTACTTACAAATGGAGAGTTCCTTCATAAATGTAAATGTCCCTTACAAAAGGGTAACTTCTACTCTGTTTTCAGAGCTTCTCCTGTGTCTGCTGTTTCTTAAAATAATCAGCTCAAAATAATCCTTATGCCAAATAGGCATATTCTGGGGTGGCATAGTCTGCTACCTTTCAATTATCACTGGTAATTTACATTGGCCATTTGATCTGGTCCCAAATTTTTCCAATTATAAATAACTTTGCAGTAACATGGGAATTATCCTTCAACACCACAAATATCATATTCCTCCCCAATTAAAATCCATCAATGACTCACCATGGCCTACAGAACAAAATCTGAACTCAAGGTGTACAAATTCTTTCCTTTTCAGCTTCGCATCCTGCCATTCCCTAACGTATTACATATGCTCTAGCTATTCGGAAGAACTTGTAGTCCTAAACAAGATATGCTTCTTCACACCTCATCCCTTTACGTATTCTAACTAAAATTCCCCTCCCCTCCTGGTCAATGCCTACTTATTTTTAATAATAAGCAATTTGTATGTTACTTCCTCCAAAAAGCTTTCCCTATTCTCTACAGGCAATTAGGACCTTCCTCTTCTGTGGACCTATAGTACCCCAAACATATCTCTATTATACCCTCATTAACATAGTTATAATATTTGTTTACATAGCTGTATTCTCAATTAAGAGACTTCTCATTGGAGGCTCCTCAAGGAGAGGGACCCTATTTTATTTGTCTTTGTATTCCCAATGCCTAGCACAGTACTTGGCACTTTTGCCAAATAAAAACACTAAGTCCAGAAGTCAGAAGCAAAATAAAGATCATAGCAAACTTGGAACAAGTAAGGGTGGTCCTGGTTGACTGCCATGAACAGTGGAAGGTTTTTGCCATGTGCCTTTCTTTATGTTAGAGATCTATGGTGCAGAGATGGATTAAGCTAGTTTAAAAGGCACCATCCCTCACAATGTCATGGTCTCTCTTCCTGGCAAACAAGGCCAGGGTTTCCTGAGTTTACCTGGTGAAAAAACCTGAGTATTCTGGAATATTCTTAGGAGTAGACTGAAGTCTCATAAACTCCTCTCTGGCTCATATCTACCCTCTCACTATATCTGACACGGAGCTAGCAAAGGCATCAACAAGAACTCAGCATATCTATAATGCACCCTAGTTCTCCATATCAGGTTGAGCAAAGGGCTAAGGGCAAAAGAATGCAGGGGATTTTATAGGCAAATAAATGTGGCAGCTGTGTAGATGGACCAATCACTTTCAACATAAGAAGTAAAGAAGCCAAAGCATTCTACCTTGACCTGGCTGATGATCTGTTAGGTGATGAATGGCGACAAATTAGACATAGATGTGTTAGGTGAACAATGCTTTCAAAAACTATGCTATGAATCTGTGGTTAGTATATAAGTGGATATAGTAGATCTGTGGTTAGTATATAAGTGGCAAAGTAACCTGTGGAGGCAGAAAAATCCTTAGACAGTGGTAATGGATAAGCTTAGACAGATTCCACAGAAGCTGTCTTCTTGGTGAGAGCTTCTCCTACCAAAATCTCATGGTACTACCAGTCCTTTGAGTAAATGGAATGATCTTATGGAGTCGGAAGTGAATTAAATGACCTTCTAGGTCTTTACCCTGGGCATATATGTCATAGTTCACCGTAAATATACAAATAGAATTGCATGTTTACAAAACATCTTGTTGGCTATAAAAAAACATTTTGAAGAGGATGCAGTGACCTGACTTGGT